CTCTCATTTTCTGTAACATCATCAGATACAAACACATAAGCATTTTTATCTGGTCCTTTTTTACAAATAATAGGCTCATACATGTAGTTGGAAGTTTTCCTATGTCCCGGCTGGCCAACAGTAGGACAAATCTCTCCCACTCACATCCCCAAGTAAACACACAGAGGCTTATATTAATTATAACTGCTTGACCATTAGCTCAGGCTTATTACTGACTAGCTCTTACACTTAAATTAACCCATAATTCTTATTTATATTTAGCCACGTGGCTTGGTACCTTTTCTCAGTTCTACCTTGTCATCTTGCCTCCTCTGTGTCTGGCTGGTGACTCCTGACTCAGTCTTCCTCTTCCCAGAATTCTCCTTGTCTGCTTATCCCACCTTTACTTCCTACCTGGCTACTGGCCAATCAGCATTTTATTTATCAATGAATCAGAGTAACACACATTCACAGCATACAGAACGACATTCCACAGCACATGTGCATTTATTAAATATTATTTCTTCTCATTTTTATTTTGAATTATTTTCTTTTTTAGATTATAATTCCCTAATTTCCCTGCTTCCCTTTCCTCCCTCCAAACCCTACCATATACCTCTCCTTAGCCTCTTTCAAATTCATGGCCTCTCTTTTCATTGTCACTACATTCATATATGTATATGCATATATATTTCCAAATACATAAGTACAGCCTGCCAAGTCTGTATAATGTTACTTGTATGTATACATTTTCACACCTGACCATTTGTTATTGGATAACCAATTACTGTGTTCTCCCAGGAGAAGACTCCTTCTCCCACTTTTGGCATTCCTTGGTTGCCTGTAGTTCTTTGTAGATCACTTGATTCCTTATCATGAGTCTTATGTCTATTATTGTGAGAACAGTTACTAATGCGTATACAGCCACATATTGGGTAACTACCAAGATACCATCTAACAACTGTCATTTGCCATTCTGCAAGCATCGCGAAGAGCAGCAGCATGAGCTTTCATAATATGTCTAATATACACTAAGAATATATCATATATACACATGCATATATGTAAATATGTATTTAAAATAATGACAAAAAAGTATAAGATAATAAATACATAAACAAGGGCTGATGAGACAGATCATCAGATAAAGTATTAGCTGCCAAGTCTGAAAACCTGAGTTGGATCCCCAGGACCCACATAGTGAAAAAGGAAAATGGATACCCACATGTTGTTCTCTGACCACCAAACAAATGCTATGGTGCCACACACACACAACACACACAATGGATGAATATAGAAAATTAAAAATACCTGAACTAGTAACATAATAATTAATTATCACAATTTTAATTATCACTGTTTTAATGTCCTGTTAATAATTATTTATATGCATCATTAATATATTTATATGTACTCTATATCCCAGCGTCAGCATAAACACATGAATGGTGAACTGTGCTATGGTATTAGGATGACTACATCTCAGGGGTGATTTAGCTCCATTGTAATCTCACAGTACCGTCACCTCTAAGCAAAAGTCTGCCACAGAGCACATGACTATGTTTCAGACATCCAACGTGATGCATGTACACAGCAAGTTTGATCACGCCGTACTGAAACAAGAAGTGCACTCATCATTTCGTGCTTACCCTGTTTGCTTTTGTTTGTTTTCCTGTGGGACAAGAACATCTGAAATGACTGGTTTCACAAAACTTAGATTCAGTGTGATACCATTGCCTATGCATTTCATAGCACGTTAGTTCCACAGACTGCATCCTACAAACCTGCTACTTTACATGCAGACTGCGTGGTCCAGTTTTCTCTGTGCCATCCTCTGTAAAGCCAACAGTAGAAGAGCACATCAGTGTGTTGAGGAAGTTGTGTTTTAGATACAAATCATCTACCTCACCTGTGGGTCACAAATCCTTTCAACTCTCAATTTCTCCATCATTTAAATAGGATGGAGATGGTTTTTGTTAATCCCTGTTCTCTTGTTATTGAGCAATATTAGAATGTGGTGATTAATTATATAAAATGCTTATATTTTTATATTTATGCAGATTAAATGTTTTGTATAACATTATTAATTATGTCAATTAAAAAATCAAATTGACATAGATTTAGAGTTTTGTTGTAGATAGTTAACAGATATTGTTATAACTTTCAAGGACAAATATTGCATTAACAACAGCCCTATTCCCTTTTTGATGGTAAGTAATAGAAGTCCTCACTTTTCTTCCTCAATATATGAAAAATAATGCAGTGGAGTTAGATGAAGTGCCTTGGAAGTCTGTGTTTTATTTTTCTGACTAGGTACAAGTTGTTGCATGATTTTTCAATCTATTAATTGGGCATATACCTCATTACCATTGTGAAAAGTAGATGTGAGCATCTAATATATGTTGCCTATATCACTACTACTGGGTTCTTCCTAAGTGTCTGCTTCCTTCATCTTTTCCCATTGGAGTAGCCACTGAAGTTCTGTATATAATACATACTCAATAATTTTGATTAGTTACTTATGGTTTGAAATTTTCTCACACAAAGCATTGATTCATTAACATATTTAAGTCTTATAGAAACTGCTATTTCAGCAAAGTAACAAGTCTTTTCAAATGTTTTGACTCATCATTGTATATTTTAGTAAAACATGAATTAAAAAGCCATGTAATTTCTCAATAGACATAGAAAATCTCTAAGATTTTGTTCATTTAATATTTTTGTGATAGTATATTGATTTTCTTGTCTTTGATCAGGGATGACTTTGACCTGATGCTCAGAACTGGAAATAGATAAGAATTCTATGTAGCTTCCTTAACTTTTGCAGAGGGGTCCCTCCCTAACATCCCTGCCCAGGACACAAATGCTGCAGGCTAGATAGTCTCCAGAAATTTCTCTGTTGATTCAAATCTTCAGTCACATGAAAGTAGCTTTTAAAAACATTTTAGTTTATTTGAAGGCAAACCTTTCAACATTCAAAAGGTTAGTAATGAGATCGACGATGAATATTTACATACTGATAGCCCAAAATGAACCCAGGAAGAGGCTAGTTCAAGAGCAAGATGTGAGTCCATCATTGTGAAGCCCAAAGGAGATTCTCTTGGTATGGAAATTTTAGTGTGCATAATATTTTCTGAAGTCTTATCCAAGCATGCCATTTAATCAGAGAAACCACAGGGCTACCCTCCTTTATCCCTCACCTTCTCTAAAGGCCAGCTTCCTGATCTTTCTGTATTATACTGGAAATGTTTTGCTCCAGTATTTGGTGATAAATGGATTTCTTTCATGTAAAGTGAAGATAAAAGCACTTCAGACTGTTGAAAATCTCCAGCTATTGGGACAGTGACAATGAATAGTTAGTAAAATCCAACAGGAAGGAAGGCCAAATAGACCACTGTTATATATCACAGATTACGTAGTAAATGGCCTGCTGAAGGATGTTACTGGCATTATCTTCAGCTCCTAGTTCCAGGTCTAAGACCAGGAAACAGGCTGAGAATTGACTCTCTTTCCACGCCCCCACGTCCTGTAAAAACAAGGCAACATCAGCTAGCACACAAATTAATTGTGGATACTCAGTCCCTCACCACATCTGTCTCAGCTCACATACTGCCAAGGGAAACTCTGACATGAGGGTTTTCAACCTCTTCTCTGACGCACTCTTCTATTTCTCCTCCATCTCTCTCTCTATCTCAGGCTCTTTCTCAATTCTTTCAAAGCACAGCCTTGTTTATATAGATTATACCCTTTAATCACTTCTCTCATTAAATGGTCATTTCTTTTTCCCTCTGAAGCCATTGCTTGCTTAAACAGAAAACAGAATGTTTTTAAACTTCTCATTCATAAAGTTACAAAGCTTTTGTGCCATGCATCTTTCCTAGATGGCATGACTGCCCTTTCTGTTACACAAGCATTTTTCCACTTTTAGACCTACCTAACCCCTCCCTGCTTCATTCTATTTCATTTTTGGATAGAAAAGGAGTCTTCTATTATTATTCTTTCTGACCTCTTTGGATTTCCTGTACGTGATAATCTCTGTCTCTCCTCTTCCCTTTGCTTCTCAAGCTTTTCATTCTTGTTAAACATACATCGAAGTTACTAGTTTGTTCATTTGTCCTCAACTTTGAATCTTATTTTGTGGACTAAAATATTGAATTTCCTTGGTAACATTTGTCCAGGATCACTCTGCATAAACACATATCCCCACTGGGGATCCTCTCCTGTGCATATGGAATACTGTATTATCAGCTCGTGTCCTACCCATAACCAAGCTGTGAGACTCAGCCTGAAGCATCACTGGGTCTCTGCTCATGTTGTTTGTTACAGTTGATGTTTTAAGATCCTGTGGAAACAAACCATTGCCAACTCTGCTGTGATATGCCAGCTTGAATTTCCAACCCTTCCTCTCATTACTACCTCTTACTCCTCACAGCTTTCCTTTAATGTGCTTAACCACAAAGCATGGCTCGATTACCCTGCTTGCCTCCCACAGAGAAAAACATTCTTTAAACTACTACCACTTTCAAAATTCAACTTTTTCTTAGGACTCAAAGCCTACACATGCAATGGCAGACACAGAAAAACAGAGAAGACAGAACACTCACTCTTCATCAAAACACATGGACACAAAATCCTTCCAACAACCAGCACCGAAAACACTGAAGATGTACCTGTATTTGTAACTATCTCTTTAACTAAATAGCTACAGAAATTCTCTTTTAATGTGTATATTTTTGAGAATACTGGAAAATTTCTCTCATGTGTCTGTCTAATATATTTCACCACTAATGTAAAGACCATATAAACCCAGAACAAATATTACTCAGCATGAAGTTAAAGGAGCAAATTATCCTCTTAAAGTTCTACATATCATGACTGCTGTCTCTGAATTCTCCTAACTCAGAAGCTTCCCCTTAAGTCTTTACTTTTAATCACCCTGCCAGATGCTGTTCTGTTAACTGCGGTGGTCTATACAGCTTCCTCTATGCGGATCCCCCCTTCCCCGGCGTTTGAAAACTTACCGCTTTTACCAACGCCCCCTGCGCCCAGCATTACCACCTTGTACTCTCTGGACCCGCCTGACGAGCTGCCAGGGCAGCAGTGGGCTTCGTTTTCTATTTCCATCTTACCCGGGGGACCCGAGGAGAAAAAAGGAAGAAAAAGTCACCCGTGTCAGGTGCTAGCTCAGATAGTAAACAACTCTAAAACTGTGTCAAAGGAAAGCTTTACTGCGTGACAAGAACCATCAGTGTCGGGCTGCCTGCTGGTCCTCTGCTGGAGCGGGTCTCATAGCAACCACTTCAATTGCTTCCAATAAAAATCAGGCTTTACCTCCCCCTCCCTCTGATCCTTCACTGTTTCAAGTCTCCACTGATCTCGCTTGCTCATTCTGGTTTCTTCCTTCCCTCTGAGTTCTATTTCTCCGTTGCTCTCTCTCACTCCTCCTCTCTCTCTTCTCTTCTGTGTGCCCCCCTCCCTCGCTGCAGCTGCAGTGTGTAGACGTACACACATTTGCAGCAGTTTTTAGGTGCACACCTTTGACTTCATTCCAGACTGAGGGGCTATAGTAGAGTGAATCAGAGATGTAAGGGGAGATGCTGTCTCACAAGCTGGCTTCTGTTGCTGCAGCTTCAGAGACATTGTTCTCTTTTAATCAGAGTCAATTAATTGAAAATTTTCTGTGGCTTGTATCATTACCATCTATCATGATATGCCCTCACAGGTCTCCTTCCAGAAAAAGGAAGGCACCCACTTTACCCAAATGAAGCAAAAACAAACAAACAAACAAACAGTAACTCGGGGTACATAAGGGTGAGTCTTCCATGTTGTTCAGATAATGCCTAAGAGGAGTTGCTTGCTCCTTGTGCAGTAAAGGTCCTTACACAGGGGGATTATTGAATTAGCTCATTGTCATGTCTGAATATGGATCATCCTTATTTATACCTTAGAAACAAAGTGGATTATAAGACCCTGGCAAGCATGAAAGACATATACAATAAATGGATTTTCTTAAAAAATATATAGTTGCATATTAGATCATAGAAGAATCTAGACTGTTCTTCAGAAAGCCAAAGTCTTGCTCATTTGAATTCTTATAGCCTTTTCCACTGTGATCTTCTAAAGCATGAAAATCTCAGAACATTTTCAATAATCTCTAATTGTCATGGTCAGACCCTGTCCATTTAGAGGTGATGGTGTTCTTCATATATTAGACTTCTTATTAAGCTTGACCATGGCCGGCTGTATCAAAGGGCTTTGTGGACATTGACTTGTCTTTCTCAGTTTTAAGCTCCTCTATAAAGAAATTCTATTTAGCTGGGCGGCAGTGGCACATGCCTTTAATCCCAGAACTCGGGAAGTAAAGGCAGGCAGATCTCTGTGAATTCAAGGCCAGCCTTGTCTACAGAGTGAGATCCAGGATAGGCACCAAAACTACACAGAGAAACCCTGTCTTGAAAAAACAAAAAAAAGGAAGAAATTATATTTAATTGATTCTACTGTCACTATAGTATGTGATGAAGTAAGAGGCACAGGTAAGTAAGTGTTCAGTACATTTTCCAGGTTGTTGGAGAGGCTGAGAATAGCCAAGAGATGCCATAGCCAAGAGATCAGACTCTGGAGTCACATGACTTAATTCTCAGACTGGCTCAGGCAGACTCATTCAACTAATTTTTCACCAAAAGGACATGTGAAACTACATTCTCAACCCAGACATACATAGATACATAATATCAAATTGCTTGGTTTTTCTCTTGAAGCACGCTGCTGAAAGCCAACTGTTTATAAATGTATACTGGGGAAGAAATAGCTTCTCATGTGTTTATGCAGGTATCCAAATCTTTTTTTATTTTTTACTTATTTGTCAAGATTTTGATTTATTGTTGAGTTCTGAGAATCCTTTATATATTCTGAGTGCAATCTTTTTTTGCATTTTATTGATGCATATTCATTGTACAGAGTTTTTCTCATATAGATATTCTCAAGTGTTTTGACCATGGTCAACTCCTTTTATCCCTGCCTTCAATCTCCTTCTTTTTCCTCCTCCCCCCTCTAGTCTTTTCTCCTCTTTCATGTCATTATATATAATATATACACATATACATACATATATGCATTATACATATACATATATGTGTATTCCCTATAAGATTTTACTTCCATCTGTGGCTTTTCTTATAGAATCTTCCAAAGAGCTGAAGGGGAGAAAAGGAATATGATTAAAATTTAATTAAATATATTTTTTAAAATACCAAGATATTTAAATGTTAATTCAATTTAATTTATGATTGCTTTCTTTCAGGAATACGTCAGGGGACTTTTCGGATGATTGTTTTCCCAGTACACTTTCTCTTTGCATTCTCCTTCCACTACAGTTCACTTAGGGACCTAATGCTCTTCCTTTCTGTAGTAACTCTCCAATCTGGAGACAATTCTAAACTGTATTTTCCCTTGAGCTACAGAAGTAAATCTAAAGACCTCCTGGATGTACCCATGAAAACTCAGCTTGCATTTTTATTTCAGTGTGTCTAGAAAGACACCACCTTCAGCCTCAACAAATGGAGTCAATATTGTCATCAGCTTTTGTAAGGGCATCAGTACCTTCCAAGTTCCAGTTTTGGTTCCATTTCCTATTATATTTGATTTTCATCACCAGAACATTCTGTAATTTACTCTCTCATAGCACAAGCTCTCCGCCCTTTCCTCTTTTCACAGGGCACAATGGAGCCTGTCCACATAAACCATCAGCCTACTGACCATACTGACACATTCATATATCAAATACAAAATCACACAAGCCAGTGGCTTCCAGTGTCCCACACAGACACAAATCATTACCTGCGCCCAGGTTCCAACTTTGTCTTCACGCTCTGCAGAGTAGGCAAGCTGTGAGCTACTCGTCTTCCTGGCGGAACCATCAGTGCTGTGATTTTCTGTAACAAAGAAGTATGGCTACATTGTAATTATCATATTTTTTTAAATTAAAATGTTAGCTGGACGGTGGTAGTGCACACCTTTAATCCCAGCACTCTGGAGGCAGTGACAGATGGATCTCTGTGAGTGTGAGGCTAGCCTGGTCTACAGAGTGAGTTCCGGGACAGTCAAGGATACACATTGTCTTGAAAAAATTTTTTTTAAAAAAATTGAAATGTTATCATTCAATGAAACAAAAGATATAAACAGCATTTAGTGTCAAGGTCATCCTAGGTTTTATGTCTAGATCCATTGCTGATATCTCATGACCTTGAGCACACTGTGTGCCAATCTAGCTGTCAGGATCTCTGCTACTCAGTTGTTCACATCAGCCATGCTGATTTTTGGTAAAGCACAGAAATTGTATTGAGACTTCTGTCATTGGTCATCTGTGTTATTCAGAAGACTTACTTTTGACGTTGGAAAAGACAAAGAAATACATAGAATTGTTTTTCAAAGTAAACAAATTAGTAGCTTGCCAGATAAGCCTGTGAGACAGGGTGAGAGGGAATTGTGGCTAGTGAATTAGCTGTCTTCTCAGTTGTTAACGTGTCTATCTATATTCCTCACCTGGAAAATAAATAGCAGTTTTCTTCTTCCATGGAGTTAAAAAATAAAACAGAAAGGAATTCCCTAACCAGCGCCTACTGTGCCTCGTCCTTTGAGTCCTAAGAGTCTAGTTTTTTTTTTTTTTTTGTTTTTTTTTTTTTTTTTTTTTTTTTGGTTACAAACTGTATGGCCGTGGCAGGCTTCTTGCTAACTGTTTTTATAGCTTAAATTAATCCATTTTTATTAATCTATACCTTGCCACATGGCTCGTGGCTTACCGGCACCTTTACATGTTGTTTGTCATCGTGGTGGCTGGCAGTGTCTCTCTGACTCAGCCTTCCACTTTTCAGTTTTTTTCTCCTCCTTGTCCCGACTATACTTCCAGCCTGGCCACTGACCAATCAGTGATTTATTTATTGACCAATCAGCAACACATTTGACATACAGACCATCCCACAGCAATTCCCTATATTTTTTTTTTTTTCACGTTTTGAAACAGTGAATTTAATGATTGATGTCATGTATACAGTATCCAGCTTTCCATCAAAACATGACTTCATTGTAGAACATGTGGCCCATGCTCCCATAACTCAGGTGTTTCTGGTACATGGACTGCTCTCACCCAATGTGAGGTTGAACTGTCGACCTTGTGTACATCCTACTTCACAAATGAGTCTGTCAGATATGCTAAGCCTATAGGCTGAAGATGATGCCCCAACACTGTGGAGAAACCTCAGGTGACTGTCCAGGCAGATGGCTGTTTCTGTCAACTCACAAATTTTTTGGAAGTTGCTTGCATGCACTTTCTGTTTTTATTTTTGTTAGCTAAGAGTCTAGTTTTTTGTCCTGTGTTACCGAGGACAATTAATCCCGGTTAACAGTCATCAGGCTCTGAAGCATTTTAGTTAGTGACTTTTGTATTTTCTTTGACTTGTGGCTTAGCCAGCACACTCACTGGGCTGTGTGTGTGTGTGTGTGTGTGTGTGTGTGTGTGTGTGTGTGTGTGTGTGTGTGTGTAGGGAGTTACAAGGAGATATTAAAGGAAATATTTCAGTAACTGAAATCATCACATTGCAGATATCTTTGAACTTGGGAAAACTGTCTAAAACACATACCCTGGCACTGCCCTGTGAAAGCAGATTTCTATTGTGTGAAAACCCAGGTGCTAGGTTTAGAAGGAGGCACTTAGCTCTCCTAGTATGGTCCAAGCACAATCTAATCTACTTCTGAGCACCATGCTTTCCTCTATACTCTTCTTCAAAAACAAAAGGGGAAACTAAGCCAATAAACAATACCTTGAAAAGGAACACGTCGTTCTGTTTAAATGGATGCCATTTTTAACTTCTCTATGACTTACCAAGCTATCAAGTCACTGTGATGAGTCTGTAGGAGAGAAGTTTGGAACAGCAAGATTTCATTTCTCACTCTTCTAGTTTTCCTCGTGTGTTTTTCTGCAAAGCCAATTTTTGTCTTTATTGAAATATATATTGTTTGTATTTCAAAGGCATTTTTACATTTCCACTGAACTGAACCAAAATGATGCAACATCTCCCTTTTTTTTCTGTTTTTTATTTTTTTTCTTTTCAAGTCCCTTTATTGGACCGCTCCCAGTCTCCCATTCTCCCAGCATCTTCAGTTCAGGTTCCCGAGGCTCCAGGAGCTCGAAGCCCAACCCACTGTGGCAGGAACCTGGCTCACCCTTCCTCTCAAACTCCCGCATACACACTCGCCCAGACCACAAGATTATAAGGGGACCATTTTTATCTTTATCTCTCAAGAGTACAGCACTTTCTAGGAGCTCA